CACGCACACTCACTCACACACACACACACTCTCACACACACACACACACACTCACTCACTCACACGCACACACACACACACACACACACACATGCACACTCACTCACACACACACATATGCACACTCACTCACACACACACACGCACACACACATACACACTCACCCACACATAAATGCACACACACACACACACACACTCTCACACTCATACTGTGAGGAGATATCTGTGTGCACACACACACACACACACACACTCGTGGATCTGTCATTGTGATGATGTTCACTGATGTTGGCAGACAGATCTGACAGAACATTTTTTAAGCGTCTTCATTTCACCTGGACGTGCTTCAGTTTCTAATCTCCATACATCTGTCATTCACTAGATCCACCTGCATTGATCTGCAGTGAAATGTGACGAATGCTAAAGCTGGTTTATGTTTTAGCAGTATAAAGGGTAAGTTAAATTCAGGATTTTAGTTACTATTAACCAAGACACACAGAATTCAACATATAGCATATGCTGAAATTAAATCAAATATTAACATTAGATTAAAGACCTATACTTAAAAACAAAATTACACAAATGTTGCCTAAATGAAACAAATATGTTTAAGTTTACCCTGATAGCACACGTACATCACGGAGGTCATGAAAGACATATGCACGAGAAGACAGGATAATGCAGATACTCTCAATGGGGAATCGGTTCAGCACTGCAGCTGGAATTGCTCTCCAGTTAAACAGGGTAAGAATCTGTCTCGGCATATTTAAGAGAAGCCGGACTGAAAGCGCACTCTGCAGTGACCAAACCTCTCATCAGCAGAAAGAACCAAACGTCTAGGCTCACCTTTGCTGAGGAGCATGTTGTGTGAAGAGAGGAGAACTGCTTCAAAGTTACTTCAGCGATGAGAGCAAGTTTAATTTATTTGAGTCCGATGGGAAACATTATGTTCAGCATCGAACTGGGGAAAGACTGAACCCAGAGTGAATAAAAGGTAACTCGAAATATTAATGAATACTATACAAAGTTGACAGTTTAACAGCTGAGCCCAAGCCTTTGTTACTAATTCAGAAACGTCTCTTTAGAACCAGTAACAAAGGAACGTTGAGTTACTTCATTGAAAGCTTATTGTATTACTGTATTAAAAGCTGTGTATTATGCATAGGCGTAATTTGCGGGTGGGACGGGTGGGACATGTCCCCATCACTTTTTGCCAGGGTCGATATTGTCCCTACCACTTTTTGAAAGTAATTAAAAAATATATTGAGGAAGGTATGTATTAAAGGGAAAACAAGATCAACAAATCATTCTTCATAATCTAATTAGGGTGATAAAAAAACAACAACAACATTTGACTCCTTATGCATGCATAACTCGTAATAACGACGTGATTTGCAGCTGTCGCTTTTTCCGTAATGTCATTAGGCTATAGCATTGTATTTTAAAAATGGAGAGCTTCCTTGTGCTAAGTAGGCCTGCCCTCTATTAAAGATTTTTCTAGTCAACTAATCACATGTTATTTTAAATTGATTAATATAATAATATATTAACTATACTTCAATATAGGCTATAGGCAGACGTATTAGGCTAGAGCCTATTCCGCGCTCAAGCTCGCGCATAAAG